GTATGCTCCCAGGCTGCTGAAACCTGGGTGTATGACATGCCTTCTTCCAAAGTGGGAACATGGCATTGTCCTTCACTGTAGTCTCCACGAGCCCAAGCACGGCCATCGCTTCGAAGAAGCACTGTGTGGGCAAATCCTGCCAAATCCATGACACCGAATCCTCGCGCCCGGGAAACTTACACTCAGATTGGTTACCTTTGTCGTCTGCAGTTTAATTTCTGCACGCAAAAAGGAGCCTTTTCACACTGACCGTGGAAATCATTGCCTTGTCGAAGTGCTCATCATCTGCTCAGCATGTTTGCCCAAAGGACCGGGTCATTCTACAGAACTTGGCTGGGTGAGGGAGCCCTCACCTGTACATTAATCATCATTGATCTAATCCTTGCAGCAAAAATCATGAAGAAGTACATGGGCAACGAACTTTGAAACCTACACCTGCTGAGATTAACATGGAACCATATGGAACCTGAAGATTTAAATCTTCTACCAACGCTGCGTCTGGATCCATCAGATCGGAAAAAAAATAAGAAAACAAAGGGGAACTTGGAAGTTGGGAGCCACCAAAGACCCATTTGGAAGATCCAAAGTCCACTCAAAACCATTGGTGTTTTGTGAGACTCCAGGCTCCCTCCCGATAGAATATACACATCCAACTCAATCGGTTCCTCATGTTTCTCCCAGGAGTTCCATGTCGGGGTGCTTGTTGAAGGATAGGGGTGCCCAGCTACTCCACCTCCACTCACTGGATGGGACTCAAAACCACAACTCCATGTAACCCCTGGTCTGTATCTATATAACCAGTTAGCCCCCGCTCTTCTGATCCCAGGCGCATCTTGAACGGTCTTGGAATCGATGCCATGTGGTAAAACCTCGGGCGGGTGGTGTTGCACCACGTGGCCACCACAAAACACTCCGTGAAATCATGGCTACGTGGATGCCCCGCGGGGCGAAAATGAGATGCCCTTGAGTTCCAGGTGGGTGTTCACTCCACCTACAGTGAAACCTCAGAGAAGATGGCACGATATCACCAATGTCGATGGTGGAAATATTGGCCCCCATCCAAAAGACATGTAGCGGTGCCAATGCCATCTACTCTCAAACCACTGCGTCCATGATTTCCTGGGGGAGTGCCAGGGCCCTTGATGACTTGATTTCAAGGCCTTCGATCACGCATGACAAGACCAGGACAAACCCAGGACGCTTGCTCGACCAAGCGAACGGAGGTGATAATGATTGTACGTATCTCAACAAAAAACTAAAGAATGTTAACCCAGAAATATTAAGTAATTTACACATGTCCGTAATGTTTCTATATTTTTATATACACAAGTGTCGTATTTCATAGTTATACATACGTCTTTAGTTGCGTTTAAAACAATATGTTACTTCTCTGCGAAAAAAAGTCAGATTTGTAACCCGAAAAAAATAACCATATAATGTATATATCCGCCGACCCCAGGTGTCGATTGCACTGGCAGCGGGAAGACACTGATCTATCTCTGGAAGATAGAAATAAATAATTGGTTCAATTGCGCAGCTTCAAAAGCTAGGAATGGTTCACCAGTCACTCCAAAAAGCAAAGCTGCGGTTACACTTTTCTCACATCCATGGCCACCGTAAACGCCCGACAGACAGGCTTGTGCCAAATTATATGGCATTCGCACTCATGACATGTTGAGGCAACAGGCTCAAAACCACATCGATAAAATTTTCTTCTTGCTCAACATGTCCACTTGCCTCTGACTCTTTTGCACTGCTTCTTTCCCGACGCTTTCTCTTCGCCGAAATGAATTTCGAATCCCAAGAGATACCAACAACACCTCTTTGGATCATGTCCAAAAGTTTGTCCACTTCAAAGATTTTCGTGAGATCATCAGCTCTTTGTTGGTCAGAATCAGTCCATTTCAAGTCCGTGTTTGTGGTTTCCGTCCTTTCTTTTATGTTCAGAATCTCCAAAGACAAACGTTTTTCCTCCATTTGTAAACCAGATGACACAACTCTTTTCACCGAGTCATACAGGTTTTTGGCATCACAAACCACTGCAGCCGGGATGCTCGCAATGCATTCATCTGAATTTCTGGCCTTAATGCCTTGTTCGTGGAGAATCTCATACATCACCTGTTTCACAAATTCTACTTTGTCATAAGTGTTAGCGCATTCCTGAACCTCCGCGCAAGCAGAACTCCTAGCTAGTCATTTTAGCTTTCTGCTGTGCCAACTAAGTATTGAAAAAGGGGCGACATGTCCGTCCAAAACTTTCCGATCAGTCAACAAGGTGATTGACCCTCCCTGAGAAGAACCGTCCGCTCTGTTTGCATGACTAGCATCCGTGAAGGAAAGAATCATAGGATCTCTAATTTCATGAGAAAACTTCAAGCATACTTCAGCCTTAGCCCTTTGTAATCTACACAGTTTGTTGGCTTGCAAAACCTCCTTCACAGTCGCAGAACGATTGTGTCCTTGGAGAATAGACGTGGTTGCGTTCAGCCAGGGCGCTGTCTGATTCGCTCTCCAAGCGAGTCCTCCAAGAAGTCCTTTCATTTCATGTTTTTCCTTATCAGTAGCTTCATTTTCCAGTTCTTGTTTTCTTTCTTTCGTCATGTTTACCTCATTCAAACCTAAAGCATATCTTTCTTGTTTCAGGTTGATTTCTCCATTGTTCTTCTGAGAGAGCTCACATCCACAGAACACAGTCTTTTCCTTTTGCGCGCTCTTCCAACTCCCGAACGGAAACGTTTTTCGAAGTTCAGTGATTTTAGCTTCGTAAACCGGACCAGACCCAGAAACTATAACATCATCCACATGAACCCCCAACAAACCAACCAGTTTACCTTCACTAAACAACCGCCAAATACATGGTTCGAGAACACATTGTTTCCACCCTTGGTTTTTGAGTTCCTTGGCCAGCTTGCTCAACCACTGTCTGGGAGCATTCAACAAACCGTAAATTGCTTTCCTAATTCGAAAACCCTGATCTTTTGTCATGCCGAGGTACGTTTTCACATCATCCGGAGGATTGCCGAATATCATCCGAGAGAGTTCCGTGTCGTCTCCGTTTAAAAAGGCCGTTTTAACATCACCTAGACACAGTTCACAGTTCCCATCCAAAATGGCTTGTGAGAGACAGGAGAAGATTTCTGCCAAGTGTCGACAAAGTCGGTGAGTCCCGACTGATGTGGAGCCAATCTGGGTCCTGAAAACCTTTGATGATCAGCCTAGCTTTGGCCTTTCGGCCAGTCAGAGTCCCTGATTCATCTGTGATTGGTTTCCAAACTAACACCCATCTCATACCTAGAATCCTATCTTTGTCAACACCATGAAGATTGCATATGTCCACAGCAACGTGTTGGCAGGATCGAGCTCCAGAGGCTCCATCCCCAGGCTTCCGGCAATCTGTCTCGCCACGCCTTTCCACCATCTAATTCCACACCAAAAACCACCCAGGACTGCTCTCTCACTGCCAATCGTCGCTTTCTGACAGCAGTAAACTCCTCTTCTGATCCTCTTCCCGAAGCCGTGCTTTCTCGTCGAGTGCGCTCCCACACACCGCGCTTTCCCACGGCGAGACAGATTGCCGGAAGCCTGGGGATAGAGCCTCTGGAGCTCGATCCTGCCGTGGGAAAGCGTGGTTTGCATCTGAACCCATTTCCAACAATTCTTTGCCACTCACGAGCTTCTAAACTCATCAACAATTCTTTTTTCTCGAGCTGAAACGATTCCCACTCGAACAAGTCTCAAGAACGCTTTTCGTCCATCCACATGTTTGATCTTGCTAGTCCCCTTCCCAGTACAACCATGCCCACGGGCTCTACTCTTTGCCGCCAACGCTTTTTTCTTACTCGTCAACTTCCGGTTGATCCGTTGCAACGTCATCAACGTTCACACCCCGTCTGTTCTCATCTTCCGACCCCCCTCGCATGCCTTTATAAGGAAAGGCTAACATCTCCTCGCTGAGCGGCTCTTTCATCCCAGAGCACATCACCTTCCACGTTGCATGCACTCTTTCAGCAGAGATGACTGATGTAAAATCTCTCTCGTACGTACTTCGGGCTGCTTCTGTCTGTGAGCTCGCTGGACGACCACTTAAAGCCCAACATTAATCTTCACACGGTGGCTGTTTTTATGGTCCCCGTGTCCACTAGTCTGGTCCCATCTTCTGGGAAGATGTCGCCACCACCAGTCCCTGCCAAAAAAGTCCAGGTTCTAAAGGCTGCATCGAAGAATTCCTAACTTTGTGCCTCCTTCATGACTTCATGACTAGCAGACTCCTCCTCCTCATCTTCGTACAAGTGCTTCTGATCTTCGGCCGGCTTTTCTTGGTCTCTATTCATACCCATTGGTCTAAGGACTTGAAGGCGCGGCTCCTGAT